TGAGAATGTTGAAACTACAATAATAGATTGTCATGGCAAAAGTTTAGATGATGATATGGTAGTCTCTGTGATTGGTTGTTTACACACTACCATTTAAAAGTTTGTTGTCAGTAAGATATTTTACTCTCTTATGCTCACCAAAGCTGCATTTGTTTGATCATAAATAAAATAAAAACAGTAATGTTGTGAAATATTACTACAATTTCAAATAACTGCTTTCTATTTGAATATATTTTAAAATGTAATTTATTTCTGTGATAGCAAAGCTGAAATTTCAGTAGTCATTACTCATTCTAATATGCTGATTTGGTGCTCAGAAATATTTCTGATTATCATCAATTTTGAAAACATTTGTGCTGCTTAATATTTTTGTGGAAACTGAGATGCATTTATTTTTTCTGCATTCTTTGATTAAGAGAAAATTCAGAAAACCAGCATTTATTTGAAATGGAAATCTTTTTTGTGATATAAATAAACAAATCCTTGCTGATTAAAAGTATTTTTTTCTTTAAAAAAGTCTTACTGACCCCAGACTTTTGGACTGTATTGTGTATACTGTGTAAAAGTTGCCTAAAGTCAGGCAAACAGATTGGAAGTCAGAATCAGTGGGTGAGCATCAGAGGAGCTGGCTTTCCTGCAGAGTGGCTTTTGGCGATAATTGCAGTGCTTACACTAACACTCACCACCCTCTGTTACAATGTGAAGAAACAACTGCCTGTGTATTTCAACTCCCTGGAGACATCAGTCTGTACATAGAATTGTAAAACAGTTTAACCAAGATATACATTTAATTCTGGATTCGAGTGCAGTGCAATAAACATGCTTCAGCTGGCTCAAAGAGGCATGTTAAGAATTAACAAATTCTTATGTTTGGTCAACAAGCTATCAAAAAAGCCATAGGGCTGTTTATGAGCCTCTTTTTGACCTGGCAAAACATTAATGCATTGCAAGTGTATTTTAATTGTGGATTCTCATTGTTTACTTATATTCATTTGGTATTTGTCTTGTATCGCCAGACTTTTGAATTGCAGCACAAAGTTTGGTCCTCGTTTAAGCTTATTCTGGCCAAGAATAGCCCACTTAGATAGGAAGAGACCATCTGATTGACATGCAAAGCAGCCAACAGCTATTTGAATATATTTTAAAATGTAATTTATTTCTGTGATAGCAAAGCTGAAATTTCAGTAGTCATTACTCATTCTAATATGCTGATTTGGTGCTCAGAAATATTTCTGATTATCATCAATTTTGAAAACATTTGTGCTGCTTAATATTTTTGTGGAAACTGAGATGCATTTATTTTTTCTGCATTCTTTGATTAAGAGAAAATTCAGAAAACCAGCATTTATTTGAAATGGAAATCTTTTTTGTGATATAAATAAACAAATCCTTGCTGATTAAAAGTATTTTTTTCTTTAAAAAAGTCTTACTGACCCCAGACTTTTGGACTGTATTGTGTATACTGTGTAAAAGTTGCCTAAAGTCAGGCAAACAGATTGGAAGTGATGATTTCAGTCACCGCTTGTCCTTTTTAGGTGCACTATATTTATCTGGAGGTCAGTGGGAAATATTTTTCTTGTTTTGTTAACAGAATAACTAAACTCACCCTAAAATCATCATGGCTAGCAGTAGACCTGGCCCAGTTACTTGTGTGAGCTCCTGGTCATCTGAATGAAACATTGATGTTCGCAGCACTTTGACAGATTGTGTGCCCCATGCCAATATTACTGCATAAGCAGCAGGATGTCTCAGGCAGAACAGTCACTTTCAAGAAGTGAAGCAAACCTGGAAGGATGCCACTGATTGGTCAGGAGTAGAAAAGGATTCAGGATTTCCCCAACATCCTCTGCATTGATCAATAGACAAACTTGCCATTAGATAGACTGCACCAACTGAGCGGATCATTGACTTTAGCTGGAGTAATGGTTACTTGAGACCTGCCTCTTTATCACTGCATACACACTCCCCCGTGAACAGAACAGAAGGAGCCAAGACAGCTCTCATTGCTGGAATCAAATTGAACAGTTTAAACACACTGGCAGGATTTGTGTTTGTGCTCAAATTGACACAGTGGCTATGTTCCAGGTCCTAGTGAGTTTGCCTTGCTGCCTATTGTATTCATACACAGTACAGACACTCTGCTTACTGAAAATGAATCTTATTAGTGGCTGATTTAAAAAGACTCTATATAGACAGCAATTATTATGGGCACTCACATCCCACACAAACAGTGATCTTCATATTAAGTGTATGACTTTAATTGCATAGCACACAGATATTGGATGTAATTGTGCTTTAACTAGAATTAGCTATGAACTTTTTTGTTGTTGTTGATACATTTCAGTACTGAAAAAATATATAATTTTTACCTAAATTGATGCAGCGTATTCTGGAAGTGTGGATACATACAATGTTGCCCAGAAATAGGCATTTTACTGTTTGGAACAAGATTTGGATCAGGAATACATTAGGGCTGTGCATCACCAGCAAAGTCACGATACGATACGTATCACGATACAGATGCCACGATACGATACGTATCACGATACATGACTGCACTGAATTTCACCTCAGCAGAATTGAGTAAAACAGCTGTTTATTAAACACTGCACACTATAGTGCCATTTCTAACTATTGGCAGAGCAGGCAGCTGACCTCTGCGAGAATAGATTATTGAAGTGGAGATCGCTAAACTGCAAGCTAATCGCTGTTTTCAGAAAGCAAGCGAGTTTATCCACAGTGGAGAGAGCGCGTGTACATGGTTGCCAGGTTGACAAAGATAAGTAACACATTTAGCAGATATTCCCGTATTAAGCAAGTGTAAAGCTCTGTTTTGGGGATTACGTCTCTTTATATCAGGCAACCCAGTTGTGTTCCTCTGCGGCCAGATTAAACCTTGTTGTAGCCTATATATGCTCTATTCATTCTATTTTAGAAACCTCGCAATTTTCTACTCAATTTTAAACGTTGTAAAATTTTAAACATATTAAGCGCGGTCCACTGCTGCACACGTGCCACAATATCGATACAGGGCCAGCTGTATCGATACTCGTATCGTCAAATCTCTGTGACGATACATCGTCGTATCGATATTTTGAACACAGCACTAGAATACATAGGAAACTTTTCAAATGATAACAATTGAATCTAATGGTAGCGTGTTGATAAGCTAAAGATCAGTATTGTAATAAGCACAAAAACAGTGATTTTGTTACCCAAACCTATTTTAAAAAATTCTTTATTTGAAATAAATGTATTTAAATAATAATTAAATGATAAATCGTTTAAAAATTAGAAGTGTTGCTTTTAAGTTGGAGTACTAAAATTAATAAAACAAACTAAAATTCAAATGATATCTGAAAGTATGAAAATAAAAGCTATTTTATTAATATTAACATTTACTATAATAGTATATAAATGATAGTAAAATAAATAACACAACAAAAATCAAATGCAAAGCACAGATATTGGGTGAAATGTTGCATTTTATTTAATGTAATTTTCACTGAGCTTGTCACACTGCATTCTGGGAGTGCCTTATGTGTGAAGGATAAATTCGGTGCTGCCTTTGGCCATTTTGGCCATAACAAGGTATCCAACTGTTTCGAACAGGCTTCCTTGTCAAGGAGTGCATGAGAAACTTTACCTTATTTTAAAATCCAATTCTCGCTATTAACAAACCATTAACTATGACTTTTGCCTCAATAAACTGCTTAAATGCTGCTTATTAATAGTTAGTAAGGTAGTTGTTAAATTCAGGTATTGGGCAGGATTAGGGATGTAAAATATGGTCATACAGAATATGTGCTTTATAACTAATAATAAACAGCCAATATGTTAATAACGGGCATGCTAATAAGCAACTAGTTAATAGTGAGAATTGGTCCCTATACTAAAGTGTTACCGACTAGTGATTACCATTGAATTTAATCTTAACATGCTGCTAAGTTAAAAACACAAAACATGTATTACAAACAAATATTGGGGTAAGTAGTGGATTTTAATTAGGTGGAACAATTTGTCAGGACCAAATAAATGTAAGGTTTTTTTTAACTGGGCATGTCATGTGATGATGGCAGAAACAGTCTTTTGCAAGGCATCATAACTTTGCTCAATCCTGTATGGAAAAAGCTTTTGCACCCGAATTGCCTAAACAGGATTAACTTTGGTGCCTAAACATTCTGTATAGGTAGGGTTTGGATTTTAGAACAACTGCTTCTTTCATACTTATTCTTTGTCTTTCATTTAGGTGATGTTATAGTGGACATAAATGGTACATGTGTGCTGGGCAATACCCATGCAGATGTGGTCCAGATGTTCCAGTCCATTCCTGTAGACCAGTATGTGGATATGGTCCTGTGCCGTGGATACCCACTGCCAGAGGACACCAATTCCAGCGAAGAGGGCACAGGCGACATAATAACTGCTGTGCCGGGAATTGACGGGCAGCCCATTCATTCAGACGGGACCCCCTCCATGCAGGACCTCCATTACATGACCACCGATGGTAGACATCCAGCTGCAGCAATGCCCAACGGACGCTACCCAGAGGCGGGAGACACCACCCTGCTGCAGCCCGAACTGGTCAGCGTGCCTTTGGTAAAGGGGCCAAGCGGATTCGGCTTTGCCATCGCAGACTGTCCGCTGGGCCAGAAGGTGAAGATGATTCTGGACGCGCAGTGGTGCCGAGGTCTGCTGAAGGGGGACGTGATAAAGGAAATTAACAGGCAGAACGTACAACCCCTCACCCATGCGCAGGTGGTGGACATCCTCAAAGACCTGCCCGTGGGCAGCGAGGTCAACGTGCTGGTGCTCAGAGGAGGTGAGTGATGGAGACAGTGTGACCTGGGGTCCAGTTACCTCCTAATTCTTTTTGACTACACCCCGTTGCAGGTCTCATCTGGCTATAGTGACAGCTAAAGGGATAGTTCATCCAAAAAGGAACATTTTCCAGTGTTGTTTAGTATTATTTATATGCTGTTGTATTGTTTATTTATATATTGAATTAGCTTTTATTTTTATATTTTCAGTTTTAATTTTCATTTTGGTTTAAGTTTTAGTTATGTTATGTAAATTATGGATAAACTTAATAAGCTTAAATGAAAATTAGAAATGTTGCTTGGGCAGCTAACTAAAATATAATAAGTTTAAGTTGAAATGACTAAAAATAATGTGGAATAGAAATAATTAAAAACTAATATTAATAAAAATGACAAAAAGCTCATAACACATTTTTCAATATTTATATTTTAGTTTATTTTTATTTTCATTTTAATCATTTTAGTACATACATTTTATTTCAGTTAGGTGCCAAGGCAACATTTCAAATTTTCATCTAATATTTTTTTATAATTTGCAATAAAATGTAATTACTTTATTGCAATTAATGAAAATTATTTTAATAGTTTTAGTTTTTGTAAACAATAACATTTACTCACCCTTATGTCATTCCAAACCTGAATGACACTTTCTTCATTGGAAAATGTTTTTTTTCCATACAGTCATAGTCAAAGGGGTCAAATGTTGAAAGTCAAGTTTGTTTGGTCCGCTTTAGTTTTGAAAATTTTGTGTTCCACACAAGAAAGAAAGTCAGATTTGGAATGACATCAGCCTGAGTAAGTGATGACTATCCCTTTAAAGAAAGAGAGAAGGCAAACACAGAGATAAAGTAGTGATTAAAATGATTTATGTAAGCTGAAGATATGTGAAGAAGGATAGAGCGAGAGACATAACAGGGAGGGTGAGAGCTGAAAGAGATAGACGGTTGTGTTTGTGAGTGAGAGATCCTCACATTTTAGTGAGACTGATCATCGTATATCACTATAATACTGTTAACGCCTGAAGGAAAAAGCGTTCACGCTTACACACCGTAACAATGAAAATGGATTGCACAATCTCAGTACAGCAGGTTACTGGGGTGATTAAAGTTAATTTGTGAAGTAATCGAAATAAAGTGATGTCATTCTATATACTCCTCCTCATTTGAGTACAAAGTCTCTGCAACTTCAGTTTGTGCTGCTGCGGTTTGTGGACACTTTATCAATAGTTTATATGCACGAGACAGTTGTTACACCAGTTCTACCATCTCCTGAACTCGTAGAGAAAAACCCCCAATAGCAGTTTAATTGAACTGAATCCTGTATTTGCATGCACAGCAGCGGGGGCATAGCAGCTATACACACAGATCTATATTGCATCAAGTCTGTGGTTTGTCTGGAGCCCAAGTGAAAATATCAGGTTCTGTGTTCACTTACTTGCTTTCAAGTTTCGGCTGTCACAGCGCAGCCATCGGATTGTGGCTACAAAAGGTCAAGCGTATTCATAAGCAAGCTTTTCTTCTCTGACTTACACATACACGATTATATGCTCAAAATCTCCACCAACCACAATGTACCGCAGATGTCGATGTTATACATGGTCATTATTGCATTTATTTATTTATTTATTTATTTATTTATTTTTAATAAAGACAGCTAGGTCTTGTTAGTATTCACAGTTAACCTGCAGGCTTGTCATATTGCACACACACACACACACTGTACATAAACATGCCTGCCATGGATCATCATGCTTGCATTGTGTATATATTAGGTCTTCTCATTTATTTCTCCAGTATAAGTAAATGCATTGTAGAGTACACTTCCCCTTAGTGGACACTTTTGATTTTTTTAAGGTTTTCCGCTGTATTTAATATAAGCTAGACTGAAATTCAGCCTCAGGATTGAAACGTTTTGCATTTTCCATAAGGATTTGTTTGTTTGTTTGTTTTTGGTTCCTCTGCACTACCATGCAAAAGTTTGGGGTACGTAAGAATTTATTTTTTTTTATGTTTTTTAAAAGATGTCTCTTATGCTCACCAAGACTGCAATGGTTTAACCAAAAATGCAGTAATTTTTAAAGTTTTAATATTTAAAAATATTTTTTATTCCAGTGATGGCAAAGCTGAATTTTCAGCATCATTACTCCAGTCTTCAGGGTCACATGATCCTTCAGAAATCATTCTAATCTGATACTTTTTTTCAGGATTCTTTGATGAATAGAAAGTTCAGGTTTACAGCATTTATTTAAAATAAAAATCTTTTGTAACATTATGAATGACTTTGTCACTTTTGATCAATTTAATGCATCTTTGCTAAAAAAAGAAGTATTAATTTCTGTCAAGAGCAAAAGCATACCGACTCCAAACTTTGGAACGGTAGTGTATGTTATGGTTATCACACTGAGACAGATGTTGACTTGATTAATATATTTTGCAAGGCTCTTGATATTGGTATTAAAGGTGAAGTGTGCAAAAAAAACAATTAATGCTAAAATACTTTCTCCAGCTTGTACAATGCTTACAGAAATCCATTTGTGTATGTCAATCCATGACTGATTTCTGTTGTTTAAAACGTGTTCTGTTTGTTTCCGACAACAGCTATGGCTCAACCAATGTCATGAGTTTGGGGTGGGGCTATCTGTTTATCTGACCAATGACGGACGAGGCAGAGTGTTCTGTAAACCTTTTTGAAGTAGTCATATTTCATTTGGAGTCATTAGTGATGCAAAAATGGCACACTTCACTGTTAAAGGTTTTAAGTGTACTAAATGAACTGATGAATTTAATTTCTCCTGCAATAAATTGCTCTGTCTAATTATATAGTCTTGGAACGTACCTCTTCAACTGTACTTGCTCATTCTCATTTCCCTCTTTATATCTGTTTGTGCCTGCAGGTCAGACATCTCCCGTGAAGTCTCTGAAACCTGTAAGTTCAGCTAAATGTCTTTTAATTACTCAATTTTTGGATTTAATTTAGACACACTAGGGAATTTTGATGTAATGAAGATGAAACAGGATGAATTATTTATCGGCCTCGTTCTGGGTTCTTCTGCGAAGCGTGTTCCTTGCAGTCATACATTATTCACGGAGCAAGTGCCAAACGCTATAATGTTATTTTAAGAGCAGGATGTGGTGAATCTCTTCGAGGCAAACATGAGCTTCTGCAGCAAATATCACTGCTGAGTCAACAGGCCCCTCAGGAGTGCTTCCTATTGGGCTTCTCTCAAAAGTGTTTCTCATACAGGCTCTAATGTTGATTATTTATTTCAGAGCAGGTTTTATAACATTGTGTTCAACACGGATATAAACATTGTGAGTCATAAGGACACGCTTTGAGTGGCTGCATTAAAAAGAATGAAATTATCAATTTTGGGTGAACAATCCCTTTCGTATTGAGAGACGTCCATGTTTGGCATAGTACTTGGGCTGTAACGTTTCGGAATATTTGGTCATGTTTGTTGCTGTGTGTGTCCATCTGTTCATTTAGATCACTCCAGCTATTCCCAGTACCCAGAAGCAGGACATTGCCACCAGTTCTGTCAGTACTGAGACTCCCAGTGCGGCTGAGCCTGGGCCCCAGTCCCTTCCTTTCCCTCCTCATGCCATCCGCTCCAGCTCCCCAAAACTGGACCCGTCTGAGCTCTACCTCAAGTCTAAAGCCATGCTGGACAGCAAACGTGAGTTCAACCTTGACTTTTGGGTAGGGATGTAACGATTCACTCAAGTCACGATTCGATTCGATTCACGATTCGATTCACGATTATTATTTTTTTACAAAATTAAATTTAAGACAAATTATAAATTAAATGTGTCCTTTTATTATTGCTTGGACAAAATGCTGCACATTTCTTTGTGAAACATGCAACGGAAACAGCAGACGAGCTGAACGAGACGCAGATTCACTCTCTGCCAGCAGGTGGCGTCTAAAGCGTTTCCTTGGTTTCCACTGTAAACAAAGAAGAGCAGCACTTATGGCAAGATGAAAAGAAAAAATACCATCTAAACTTTTCTAAAGACAGTAAGCTCCCCTCAGACATATATTCATATAAACTCCTACCCCTAATTGAATCGCGATTTGTTTAGCATCTCAACCGATTTGAATCGTCACATATTTGAATCGATTTTCAACCGGCTCGCAGTTAATCGTTACATCCCTACTTTTGGGAGCTAGTAGTGACATGTGAGACTGATTTGCTGTTTACACTGCAATATTTATGGCTGACAGCAAATTTTGCTTTTTTTTCCAGCCACCAACACTAAAGAACTGGACGTGTTTATCAGGAGGAACCAGGAGACTGGATTTGGGTTCAGAGTGCTGGGTGGAGAAGGACCAGATCAGCCAGTGAGTGTTGACATGCTTTGTAGTGATTCATTACCATATTGTCACAATGGAAAATGATGTGACCTTCAACCATGCCGTCTCTCTTTAGGTGTACATTGGTGCCATCGTTCCTCTGGGTGCTGCAGAGAAGGACGGGCGTCTGCGGGCTGGAGATGAGCTCATTTGTATTGATGGCGTTCCTGTCAAAGGCAAATCTCACAAACAAGTTCTGGAGCTCATGACCAACGCCGCCCGCAACGGGCAGGTGATGTTGACCGTGCGCAGAAAGCTCACCTGTCCAGGTTCGTACCCTGCTGCTATGTATTGTGATAACTGCATGCTTGCATTTACGTTCTGACAGCTGTAGAAGTCCTCCAGAGGTTTCAGTCATATCCAACAATGTCTGAAAAAAGATCCACTCCCTGTGAGAACTGAGCGTTTCGCTCCATTAGTTCTGAGTGAAGGGCCGAGTTGAGTTATAAAATAATAACCACAAAATCAAAATTTAATGACCACTGTTTTCAGTCAAAGCAGAAGACTATTTATGTGTTAACAAAATAATGACTCAATGCGCTGAGTAACTATAAAAGAAAGACGCCTCGAAACAACACACACTGGGTAATTTTGAAAAAAAAACTTCAATTATGAAGCTTTTATGAAATTTGGCTTTATGCCTCGTAGCAGTTTTTCAGCACTTTCATAATGTTCCCTTTCAGTTTTGTTAAAGCACACTGGGATTTTATTAGTTTGTTTTACTTGATGTTGAGCATTGTAAGAGATTTTTGCCAAATTTATTTCTTTGTGAATCATCAGACCCTGATGGAATCCGGCAAACTATATAATAACTATATATTGTATAATATAAAAACTATATAATGTTTTTGTGGCTCAGTGGTAGAGCGTTGCGTTAGCAGCGCAAAAGGTCGTGGGTTCGATTCCCAGGGAACACACATACTGGTAAAAAATGTATAGTCTGAATGCCCTGTGAGTCGCTTTGGATAAAAGCGTCTGCTAAATGCATAAATTATTATTATTATTAATTAAATTATAATAAACAATACAATAGGTGAAAGTCTAAAATTAGCACTAGTAAAGCAAAATTTGGCTTTGGTGAGAATATAAAACAATTATATATAAAAGCGTATTACTTGCCAATGACCAAACACTAAGTAACTGCAAGAACAGTAAAAATGATCCGCACTTCACTGATAAATAAACAATCCCACTGTGATATGGAGTATTATAATTATATAACTTATAAAGGTATTTTATAAATGTATAAAAAATATAGCTGAAATATAATAAAAAATATGAGATGAAAAACTTGAATGAAAATTGTTTGTTGAAGTACTAAAATTAAAACTGATATATATATATATATATAAAATCATTCATCTGATATATGTGACCCATGCTGACAAAATTAGTTGGAATGCGCACAGGCTAATTTTGAGCTACGGGCAAAAAAAAAAGGGTGAAAATGTTGAATTTTGGTCGAATGTGAGGTTTTCACAAAAACCCAGATATCACACGTACGTCTGCAAGATGTCTGTTATAGATCACTTCATATGGAAAGCATCTGCTGTGTACAAATATCTGATTTTTACATGCATTCTAAATCATAAACATCTTAAAAATATTTTCTAAATGTCTATTTGACATCTGACTGAAAATGTCCCATTGACGTATTGCAGATTAGCAAACACGAGTTTGAAATACATCTTGCAGATGTAAATATAGATGTCAAATAGACATCTCTGTGATGTACGTGTGCTATCAGGGAATGAGTTCATTAAGCCCTCGTCTAGCGCTCCCAATGCTCCAAATAGTAATTAAACATCTAAAATTATCTTTATTTGTATGTTTTCTGAGAGGTTTTCCCTTTCTCTGCTCGCTTCTTGACGTCTGGTGCTTCCCCTCAGCACAAGTATGGTATAGTTGTAAAATGCAGCATTCCTGCTGTGTGAATATTCATAGCGATTTCCCGATGGCATGAGTCTGAACCAGTGAAATGTGATGTTCAAACCCATGCTGATGTAAACAAAACGATCTGACTGACTGACACATCCGAAGCGTGTGCATAAAGACGCGTCTCTCAGACAGTGCGCGATCCCGATATACATGTATACACAGAATTACAGTATTTCAAAATATAGTTTTTTTGTAATCGTTTTGTCATTTTGTCATTTTATATACAAATTCTAAATATTATTAAATACTATATTAGTATATAAATAGTACAAAAATAACATTGTACAGTACAGAACTGTGGAGTCTGACATGGACCTCACCATAAATCTTTGTTGTCATAGTTTGTTGTCATAAACTCTGAATATTGCATATGCTTGAGCAGAAAGAGAGGAAGATGATGGGGGTCAACCTCAGGCCCCACATGTTCCAGCGCTGGTCAACGGCTCACCCAAACCACCCCACATCGAGGTGTCCAGCCACAGCCACCCTCAGCCCTACGACGTCACTCTTCAGCGCAAGGACAACGAGGGCTTCGGATTCGTCATCCTCACCTCTAAAAACAAGCCTCCGCCTGGAGGTTAGAAATTACTTTCAAAGCTTTTTTTCCTCTCCTTGTGTCTCTGTCTGTCTCTCCGTCTCACCCCACCCTAATTTTCAAGCTTTTTGCTACTTTGCTGTCAGCTTCAGAAAGCACACCTTGTTCTGCTGCATTAGATGTGCAACTACAGACTCATAACATTGTTGAAAATGTGGCTGAAATCTATATTACATATTTCTTCCTGTTACTTGAAAGTGTGACATACTGTACAATGCAATTACAATAATATAATCAAAGCTAGCTTAGCTGTGAAGTATTACAGTAATAAACCCCAGAGCTGTAACAAAAACGCTTATTCAGATATAATGGCTATTACCATTAGCGCTGAATAAGGGCATACGCTGTGAACGTTTGTAGGATTTATTTATGAAATTATGCTGTAAAGTTGAAAATGTAGTTTGAAGCTGAAGGGTGTATTTTCCTTGCGATATCAAGGCTGTTTTTGAACAAAAATACAGTCAAGATAGTACTATTGTGAAATATTCATTTATTTTAAAATGTAACTTATTCCTGTGATGGTAAAGCTGAATTTTCAGCAGCCATTACTCCAGTCTTCAGTGTCACATGTGCCTTCAGAAAACATATGCTGATTTGAAAACATTTCATTATTATTATCAATGCTAAAAACAGTTATTTTTGTGGAAACGTTTTTGTGATTTTTTTTTAGGATTCTTTGATGTATAGAAAGAAATGTAGAACTAGAAATGTAACATTATGACTTTACTGTCACTTTTGATTAATTTAATGCATCCTTACGGAATAAACACATAAATTTCTTGCCAAAATCTTACTGACATCATAATAAAAGTATTCATTTCTTGCCAAAATCTTACCATAGTGTATAAAAATATTTCATTGTAGTTTGAGTAAATATTATATACAGAGCCCCACACATTACATTTTCGTCTGCATGTCTTATGCTGAGCTTCATAATTTGAACATCGAAAAAGTACTTTTATTTACACTTTTAATTACCATATATAACCTGGCATGTTCGTTTCATAGTATGTGTACCGTGTAATGCAGGGTGTTTTTCCTGATCATGTGACACATCTGTAAATCTTTGAGAATAATCAGATTTATTTATCAGTATCAGTTTCTGGAGTTATTGAAAGCACTTCTCAGTGTCTGTCAGTATATCTAAGATGTATAACTGAAATAAGCATTGATCTCTGTCTGTCCTCAGTTATCCCACATAAGATTGGTCGCATCATTGACGGCAGTCCCACAGACCGCTGCGGTCGGCTAAAAGTGGGTGACCGCATCTCTGCTGTGAATGGCCAGTCAATTATTGAGCTGTCCCACAACGACATTGTGCAGCTCATCAAAGAAGCTGGAAATGCTGTTACCCTCACGGTGGTGCCTGAGGAGGGTAAGCTTTTGGGGAAAATATATTCTCTTCATTATTTTGGTGAACAGTGAGCTGGTGGAAGGAAGCAGCAGATTGCAGATTTATTTATTTTTTTCTGTAACAGACAGGTTGTTAAAGCATTTGACTTTGAGGATTGAAACTGAAACTTGGGATGGAGTTGTGTGTGTGTATGTGTGTTTCTGCCACACTGATAATCCTGTTTATTTTTCAGAACACAGTGGACCTCCGTCAGGCACTAGTTCAGCCAAGCAGAGCCCAGCCACCCAGCACAGAGCCGTGGGACAGCAGCCTGCCAGCCGAGATGACAGGTACAAGCTCCATCCTGATGGCCAGTTCAATCACAACACACACGTACACACACAATCACAGTCAACTTACAAACCTTTTACGGTTTCATTTTAAAAAGTCTCAATTTATGGCTATTGATTATTACTTTTAAGAACAATGATAATCTAAACAATGTGATTTCAATATTTATTATGTGAAATGTAATCAGTTTTTACACAAATTAAACATTTGTGACATCATTGCTTGAGATGAGAATCAAATATTTGACTTCAGAACTAAATATTTTTATTTAATTTCCAATCAAATTGTAATTTTGAGATTTTTTTGTTGTTGTATGTATGATACATAAAATGCTAGCTATGAAATTAGAAACAAGACATAGGAGATGACCATTTAATACAAATAATACTAGCATTCCAAAACAATTCAATAATTTATAATGTGATGAAGTAAATGTTCATGATAAAATTCTCCTGTGATGCATGTACACAATTGTTCAGTTTGGGGTCAGTAAGAATTTATTTTATAGAAATTAATGTAATTAAATATGCATTAAATTGTTCAAAAGACATTTATGCAGTACAGACATTTATAATGTTACAAAAGATGTATATTTCAAATAAGCTGTGTTTTTGTTTATTTCGTGTTTTTTTTTATAAATGCATCTTGGATTCCACAAAAATATTAAGCATCGCAACTGTTTTCAACACTGATAAATGTTTCTTGAGCACCAAATTATTAGAGTGATTAGAGTCAAATTAGAATGATTTCTGAAGGATCATGAAAATTCAGCTTTGCCATTACAGAAATAAATCAAATTTCTAATTACATTTGAAAAGAAAACTATATTACAGTATTTGTTAGTCTTGGTTAACATAGGAGACTTAAAAAAAAATCTTAGTAACACCAAATGCTTGAATGGTTGTGTATGTCCAAATAATATAATATAACAAATAATATAGCTAAAATTGCTTGTCTTTTATACCTGCAAGAAACAGGGCCCAAGTTACGCATGTACGCATCATAACATCCTGCCCTCTCCACTTCTACATCTTTCCTATTTCAATGACCTCTTTCCATTACTCTTCTGTCAAGAACGCTCAAGACCTCTCCTTTCATTTCGGCTCCAAGTACATGGTCCAGGTCATTCTTTTCAGCATAAAATTGATTAGACTTGAACTCGCTCTACAGTCAAGGTTCAGATAAGAGGGGCAGCCACTGTCAAAGCTTTTGCCCACACTTAAGACCAACAAAAGGATGTAATGAGCTCCACAGACCTTTGAGGTCCTGAAGAGGACTCTCAGCTTCTTTGTAGGAATCACGATCATGAACTGCAAATTCTCAAGAACAAAAACACTCTTAGCTGCGCTGGATAACATGACGATGGATGAAGGGAGATGCGTTCATTTTGTGCACCAGTTCATTAAATGCCCTAAAGCAGCATTTAATTGTGTGTCATTTAGGAATGGCGTAGAAACGGAGGAGAGGAAAGACACTATGGCCCGAGCGGAACACAAATCCCTGCCGCAGGGTGAGATAGGGGCTGTCATCTCCTCAGGACCAAAGCAGGTGAGATGTAAATGAGACAACGGCATTTCAAGTAATAATTTGTGTAGTAATAAGAGTTCACAGATAATTATGCAACTGACTTAAGTACTTAATTTTCATGCAGCTCACGTTTTATGAAGATTAAATTCAATTTAAAACTTTGAGATGGAAGCATTTGTCACCTTAAGGATTAATACTATAGGCTACAGTGACTTTATGAGCTATGAAATGGAGGAAATGTTTGCAAAATAAGTAATATATAATGCTAATGACAGAGTGTAGATATGCAAACCTAGTGTCGTTTCTCATTAGCACGGACAGGTGTGGTAGAGCAGTTTGTTTTTGCACTCAGAACAGAATGTTGTGATCTATTTAGTGTTTTAGCAAGAAATGTGTGATAATATATTTGCATAGTTTAGTGACTCAACAGTGCAATTAAATGTAATGTGAAAGGGGTCATATGATGCTTTTTTAAAGATCATTATTTTGTGTATTTGGTGTAACAGAATATGTTGACATGCTTTAATGTTCAAAAAACACATTATTTTTAAAATACTGTACATTATTGTAGGTCCTCTATGCCCCGCCTCTCTCAAACGCTTCGTTTTCTACAAAGCCCCTCCTTCCGACAAGTGCAGTCTGCTCTGATTGGCCAGCTGACCCAGTGCATTGTGATTGGCCGAACACCGCAAGCACTCGTCGGAAATGTAACGCCCCTTACCATAATCGCGAGCTTCATCTTTCAAAATAAATGTAAAGACAGTAAATAATGTCATTAGTTTTACCATCAGTTCAAGCCCGAAAGGGGAACAGACACAGTAATGATGCAGTACACAAGCCG